CATCTGGAAATTTTACTTTCCTGAGCCGTATGCTGTTCACTCTATCCACCTTAAAAGAATCTCCTGCTCTTTGTAGTCTGGATTTTTACTTTAGTGTAGGCCTGCACTCTGTCAATGCCCAAAGCCCCCTGCAGTCACTGTGCCCCAATCCCTCCTGATGGCCAGCAGGCTTGCACAAGTGAGCCTTGTCCTTGAATAGGTGGCTTGTTTGGGTGCAGACAGGAAGAGCTGTGCCACCACAGCCAGGATATTCCTGGCTCCTTGGGATTTGGCCAGCACAATGCTGTCTGGGAGGCTCTCCAGACTGTTCTCGCCTCTACCTGCCACCACTGATCGAGACTTTCAACCTCCCACAGCTCTTCAACTTTCCTTCCCCCTCAGGCTGATTTTGGAGTAAGGACTCCCAGAAAGCTCAGCTGGGATATCAAAAAATATTTAAGGAGGTGGGGAAGTTTCTTCATTTAGTATTTCTTTAGCAATAACATGGGGCAAAACAACCCAACATCTCTGAAAACAGGGCTACCTAGCATTCATCTAGGGCTACCAACATCTTGGACTACCCAGCACTCAGCAGGCAAAGCTAAGAGGATCCAACAGTGCAGTTAACATCAAGTAATGTCATTTGTTTTGCTGTGGTGAAGCAGCAACAACATGGTGATGCCATTGGGAACAATGGCAATTACACAGCAAGCCACTTTAGCATTACTCTATCATTACAGCTTGATAATATGCAATCAAAACGTTATTAGCAATCATCAGCAGCATCTATTATTCATTGCTTAGATCAAGCTAAGAAAGGGAAGGCTGTATGTCTACCAGTAACAGGACTCTGAGCCAGTCTAAGCACAGGGTTGGAGGGTAATTCCATGGCCATACAGTGCTGAGTCACCGCTGCATAACCTTCAGCAATATTACCATCTCCATTGTTCCATGTATAAAATTGAGTAATAATAATAATCTATATTTCCAATATTATTAGGAGTAATTAACTCAGATAAGTATTACCATTCATTTCATAGTGGTTACTAATTCAGAGTTAAACTATTTAATTGTAAAATTTAATACTTATATCTAAAGTTGCAGGCATTCAACAGATGCAAGGAGTTATCTGAAGTTGTAAAATATGTGCATCTACATATTTGTGCACAAATGGGTCCATAAAGCATATGCAAACACACACTCAACCTAAATGGTCAGCTGGTTTCAGCTCCTTCATATTGCAAATATGCTGGATAAATATGTGTGTGAACTCTGACACAAACAGCTCTAGTATGTAAAGTATCTTCTATGTATGCACAACTTGTTGCAGTAATTTTAGTATTTGAATTCTCAATTTTTTTCAGTATGCTAATGAGCTCTAACATGACAACCAACCTGTATCCCCAATATGTACCACAGTTTGGAAACTCTAAAAGTAGACCTGAAAACAATGCTCTGTTCCTTCTCAAAAAGTAATTTTAATTTATATTCAAGAGGCAACCAATGTTATCTCTATTTATTTCCCTACCTTATTTTGAGTAAAATAATTACATAATTTACACCTTGACAATTACTTAATAAGCAAATTAAGAAAGCATCAGAAGTAGCTGACTAAAGAAGCACAGTCTGGTATTTTTAACTGCATACTTCCATCAGCATTTTATCTTCACCTCTTCAGTGCAACCAGACATGGCTGTTACAAGTAAAAACCCTGTTAATCATTTCATTAACAGTACTAGTTTCCCAATTTATTCAACAGTAAAAAATTCTAAAGTAATTCAAATTTAGGTCTCCCAAGCCTGTAACCTGACTTATGTGGGCAAGCATAAGTTACCTACACAAACTGACAATGCTCTGCAGAGGTACAAAAATGCATCACCAAGATCCACCCATCCATCATCTTCATACAGAGTTCCCCCACCTAGGCAGGTACCTCTGACTGGTGTTTTTCACCACCATTTGCATCACTCTTCAAAGTCTGACTGCAGCTCCAAAGTCACTAAGAACAAAAAAGGATCACTACACCATCTCTTCTCATTCTTTGTTCCACTAAACAAGGGGGAAAAAATTCTTTTGAGTGATGGGAGAAAAGGAAAGAGATGAAGTGGAAATATGTTTTAGAAGATGGAAGATGCAGTTTCAAGTAACAAAATAACTGTTAAACATCAAGGTAGGTTAATTTTTAACCAGAAAGAGAAATCAGGATATTAACATTAAAAAATGACCCTAGTCAGAATTGATCAGTTCATAAAACTAGTTTACTTTCACTTAGTGACTAAGTCACATAATGACTTAGATAATATGATTTCTGGTATTATCTAGCCAGGCAACATAGGAACAAAAACACTGGGCCAATTCGGGAAATAACTGGAGAGGGTCTGTTACTACTAGGGCACAGAACCAGATTAATGGCATTTCTCTGCTAATAAAAAAAAACCTGTATCATTTTTCACACCTGTTTTACGGCATATTTGCTTGATACAAATAAGAATGCAAAAGAGAATTAAACAAAAATATTGAAAAATATATACATTATACATTCTAGGCAGGCTGCCAATATGAATGCAACAGCACAGTTCCATCAGCAAACATGGATGAAAAGGGGTGAAGCTCCAACCATTTTACACAGAAGTCCCTTGACTGTAAAGGGACTTCAGCTTCATTCAGTTATTTAGTACAAATACTGAGCTACATCTCAACAGAGAGGGCACTATTTGATACTTTTGCAATAGTTGGTCTGATTTGCACTTTTCCAGCACTTTGTAACTCTTCCAGTTTGACAACTGTCTCTACTTCGTCACAGAGGGCAGAGGTGGAGGAAGGAGGTGAGCCCAGAACATATCCAGGCATGGATCACCCAGGCAGCACCCCCTGGCCCAAGAGCTTATCTTAAGCACTCACTTCCTTTCAGCTATTCCACCTTGGTTTTAGAAACCACAGAATCATGGAATGGTTTGGTTTGGGTTGGAAGGGACCTGAAAGACCATCTAGTTCCAACATTGCTGCCATGGGCAGGGAACCTCCCACTGGACCAGGTGACTCAGAACCCATCCAGCCTGTCTGGTCAGCAAGCCCCAGCCTCCCTCCCCATCCCTGGCTCAGCAGGTTCTGGCATCATCACATCCAGGAGTGAGCTCCCAAGGGCTCTCTTGACAAAGTGGACAGCCCAGGGCACTCTGATGCCCAGACCCTGGCTGGTCTGTGCCCTGTGAAATTGCAAGACATACCCAAGGAGAGTCCCCCAAGGTCCCATCCCTGCTGCTGCACTAAAGTGGAGCCATGGGCACCCAGCACATCCCCAAAGCCTGACATCACTGAGAGAGAGCCCTGGGGACATCTGTGCCCAGCCCTTGGGGCAGGACCTGACCTGTGCCAGCATCTGGTACTTCTGTTTCTTGTAAGTAAAAAGGCACGATTTCCAGATGATGCACGCTAGTATCAATTTTATTTGAATGCAGTTCACACCAGTTTTTTACACCAGCTGTCAGCAAGGTCTGGATGACCTTGTTTTAAGTGTTTATGTTCTCCAAAGAAAGAAACATTATCTGAAGCCTGGTTTATGTTTATTTTAAAAGACCAAAGAGTTTATTTTGAAGAATCCAACTGAAAATGCTTAAAAGGCTATGATAGATACTCTGAAGTATGAATTGGAAAACTTGAAATATATTGCATATGTTGTAAGGGCCACTGACAAATAACAGGAAAGCAATGTGTGCTTACACAGTTGGGAGTATCCAAACTGTCATTTGGTTGTCTTATTTGCACAAGATGTTGGACAAAAATTAAAACAGAAACAAACGTGCAATAAATTTTGCATCTTTTAAGTTTAAAGGATAGTTACAAACAAACTGTCACAGCCCTAAAAAGGGCAGTCTCCATTTGATCTTACTCTCTTTCCTGAATACCTCCTTCTTATAACTAGAAATACCCTTATTCTGCATGGACCACTGGCCCTGGCCAGACTGAGCACTATTCAGACACTGGTATGACAACAAGTTGTTACAGAAGCACTGTCACTGAGAAACTCCACACAGTTAAAACAAGGCCACCTCTTTCAAAATAAGTAATAATGCTGTTTTTCAGCATGTCCTGGAAACAGACTTTTCCCACTCCCTATTCCCCTACCCAGTCCTTTTCTTGGATTGTCTCTGTAAAGGTCCTTACACTCACAGCTGAAGGTCAAATCCCCATACAAGCTCTTAGGACAGCATGAAGTTTGTACGTACCTAAACCATGAGGTTTTAGATAAACTATTTGTTTCTAGACCCAAAGCTTATGATCTACATTTGAATTTAACTCTCCTGTCATTTCTACTGCTAGAGATAACCAGCAAAACCAGCAGAGCAAATACTGGTGTAGTATCACATTTATTGATAACAGTGAAATACTTTAGCTTTTCAAATGTACCTGAGGGGTCCATAAAATATTTGTTGTGGAAAATTTTGTGCAATCTGTGCACACACAGGCAATGAGCATATTGGTATCTTAATTCACGGGTATTATGGGAATAAGAATCAGTTTAGAAATTGATTTGGATAACTATTTATTCCCAGTTGTCATAAAACACAATATAAGCTTCACTGCTGGTATACTTTATCCAGGCAATCCTAACTACTTTGAAAGCAGGATTATTTACTAACCTCAGTACACTACTCAAGCAGCAAGAATTCCCAAAGGACACATCCCAACACAGTAAGCATTTCAAACTTCTTGAGTAAGTCTGATGCACAATTTCTAGGAAAAGGAAAAACATGGCAGCTTGCAAAGTAGCATCAAGAAGTTACCTTATGTTCTCCATCACTCTTTGTTTCTACTGTTAAAACTCATTACAAACTCTAATTCAACAACAAGGAATGCATCCAAGGAAGAGAAGGAGTAGGAGCTGATGACAATCTCAATAATCTTACCACAGTAGCATCAGTCAGCTACCAACTCAGCCCAGCAGCAGTCTGGAAAAGGAAGGGATGCATCTATTCCAAGAACGACAGGAGTGAAGATTATAGAAAAAGCAGAGGACTTACCTCCACAAAGAGCTCTCCAGAACTTTCCCCATGTCAGTATGATAATACTTGGTAAGGATCAGGATCACCTAAAAGAAAATTAGAATAAATAGATTTAAATATGTAAACTGATGTAGAAACAGAAACAGACATGGGCAGCATGATTTTGGGAAAAGCAAAAGCGAGGCTTCTGAAAACCTGAGAAGTATTTGACCTCATTTTAACTCTTAGAGTTTTGCTTTTGAGCCTGGCTTTTTCATTTCTCTTTCTGGGAAGAGTGATTTCAGCACTTGAAATTTTCTGCAAACCTGGTGACTGTGAAAGATTGCTCATTTCACATAAACAATGGAGTTGGAATTGTCACATAAATACCACCACCACCAGCAGACAGTCCTCAAGGAATCTTTATGACTTTCTGATTAGGAAAAAACAACCTGGTTGCTTGTTTAAATTTAGGAGGCAACTCTACAGACACAATTTTTTTTTTAAATCCAAAATGTTAAACAATGGTGATTAACTTTGACTATCCAGATTAAAAAAATCAGGGGGAAAAAGAGCTCTGGCCTTCCTCACAAAATCAGCAATGCAACTTTCATAGCTATCACTTTTCATTTCTTGAAGAATCACTTTTTCCCCTTCATGAACCAGCTCTGTGCTCAATAAATTACTCATCTGCATCAGCAACAGCCAACAAAACACACAAGCAAATTTTATCCACAAAACATCTTCATCCTTTGAAAACAGTCAGCAAGAAATATTTTCCATTTGCTCAACAAGTGACAAATTTACTGGTCAAATAATGTAAAGCTCTAGTCCACAAGCAGTGTATCAAGCTCAGTACTATGGTTTATGTTTGGATCTTTTACAGGTTTCTTTCATTTGCTGCCAGTCCATATTTGTGGCTCTTAGAGCCACATGCTCATGGCAACCCCAGAGAGGCAGAACAGGCTGGTCCCCTGCACAGCTGGAGGCTTTCTTTAATGTGGGGTCAACACCAGTCTCAAACAGTTTGGGGCAAGCTGTTATTTACCTGGCACTGCTCTGCTCTGACCACCAGATGAAATCTACAGCAAACAGCAACTGTAGGTGTTCACTTTGATTATTCAGATAACTAAATATGCCAATGATACATTTATGCTGCACTCCTTGTATGCTGGAGATTGTAAGAAAACAGAATTACAGACTGAAGATGTTATCACATGGAAATAATTCAGTGTTTTACAGAACTGAGGTATAATACCAGTCTCACTCAAGGGTTAGCCAAATCTAATAAACTCACAACACATATTGAGATAAGCAAAAGTGGGAACAATCCATAATTCACAAGTATTATTCACTCCTATTCTCAAAAGAGCCACAACTTACCAGATCACTCTTTTGGGATTTGATTACTTATAAAAATAAAACTTTTGGCATAAAAAAAGAAAAAAAATAGGTTACTACAAGACTTACAAAGTGAAGGGAAAGAACCATTTTCTAAAGGAGATTGTATCTGTGGAGGAAATTCCTGGCTACAGCCCAAGCACGTTCTACCAGGTCAGCTATTTATTGTATCATCAGTGTCTTAACTGCAGCTTTTACTGGTGCTTGCAGTTAAGAAGAAAAAGAAAGAAACTTCACTATTGGGAGCATCTATTGGCTCTAATTATTAAGGAAAAAGTTTCCAACTGTGCCTTTCCAAACAAGTATAATCCCTCTTAAGTCACAAAAACTGATCTGGAATTTATTTTTTAAGAGATATAAGAATGCATACTTGGTACATGAAAATAAAAAAGAAAATACCTAAAAATACAAGAGATTATACTTTCTTTCCTTCCATTTATGCAGAAATGGAGGCTGAATCCTGAACTTGGTGAACCAACTTTCTTCATCCCTGTACATCCTAGAATTAGAAATTTTAAAATTCAGATAATTTTCAGCAATGTGTGTTGGAGCTATCCTGCCAGAGGCTAAGCCCAATGTTCCATTCCTGAATTAAACAGGTTAAAATCACACACAGAAAATCCTATGGTGTCATCTTCAGTCTTACCTACTTTGAGCATAACCTGTACGGATGCATCAACCAAGAACCTTCCAGAAAAGCCATTTTTGTAGCTCAGCACCTGTCAGGAATGTTGAAGACTGCCAGGCTCCTGGTACTGCTGGCTAGCTGCAGTTCATCTGGGCATGCACACACCAAACCAGAAAGGCACTGCTGTTCCACACACCTCAACTGAATGGCTTTCAGGAAACTGCAAACTGCAGTGGGGAGCAGCCATAAGCAGTAAAACATCTTCTTGATGCTGCAGGATTGGTGCTTTAAACTGAGTCAGAGCTCTGAAAAACAGATGTCAGTACTTCCTAATCTGCCGTATAAATTCATGTAAAAATTTAAGTTTGCACCTTATTTTGTACTTTGGAAGTAGAGAGAATGACTTAGTAGGAAAAACAAAGCCATCAGAAGCCATCTCTGAACTCTCTAATAACATTAGCAGATTCCTGTCATGAATTAAGAAGAATGAAGCTGCTGAGGGGCTGACCATCATGTCAACTCTGCCAGTGGATTTCATCCCAGTATCTGAATAATGGAGGCCAGCTATTTAACAGATTTTACAACACAGTCCTTTTGCATGAGGGCACCTTTTCAAGTGATCCTGAAAACAGGATCCAGGCTGACCATAATGGCAGTTTTTCTAAATTAATAGATAGATCCAAAGAACAGAAAGAATTATTTCACAGTGAAAGCATAAAGGTCTTCAGGATCTCTGGATTCTACCCATCATTTTTAAGAGCAGAAGCCTATTTCACTGATTTCATTTTAATGAGACTCCATAATTACGAGGATTTTACAGGCTGGACTGAAGCCAGTGGTTCATACACATGGCTCTCTAGTGAAAGTGCTTGGGTGGCCTGTGATGGGGAGAGACATAGCAGCAACTGAGCAGTGATCAAGGATATGATTCTTAACCAGCTCATATTACCATCAGTCATGGACAGCAACAACAAATTTAACTTTTTTCTCTTATTATTTTACAGCTAAATTAAATGTAGGCAATGAAGGATAATTAAGATTTATCAGATTTTTTTACTTTAAGTTGAATTTATAGGATTATCTAGAAATCTCCACTCCATTCAGACTTTCAGAGACTTGTGAGTCCATTTTAAACCATTTAAACTTAAATTTGCCCACATTTCTTTGAGTTCCCTCCCAGAGTATGATAATGGAGATGACAACAATGATTTCTGTTGTGTGCTAGGGACCTGTGAATATCTGATGGTGCTTCTGGACAAAAATACAAAAGGGAAAAAAAGAAAGTGAAAACTTTCAGCTTTTATTACAAAATTGATACTCTATTACCTGCTTCTTTACCAAAGCCTTTGGTAAAGGCCTCTCCATCAAGCCAGTATTTCTCTCTATGTGCCATGGTATGGCAGATAAATCCCTTATGAATTCCAAGAATCAAATGCAATGTGCATTAGAAGTTAGTTTTCCATGCAAGAAATAACTAGCTTCAGTCAATTTCTCTGTGTTGGGCCTTCAGAAATTTCTCTACCTCCTCCTCCTCCCTCCTTTTTTAGTGGGGAGAGTGACAGTGGGGTGCACAGATGGAATTTTGATTCTCCCACATCATTCCCCTGCTTCCATAACTTCGTTCTGCCTGTGTGAATTCTCAGTAGCCACAGCTCCAAACTGTTCTTCAAACAAAGGAGCTGAATAAGTTTTGATCCAAAATTCTTTCTGGATATAGAGCTGTCTTCAGGGGTGCACTGGGTTTTCAGTGAATGACAGACCAGAAAAACAAATGGAAAATTCCAGCTATTATTACCCGTGAATAATGAAAGTTAGAATGATCTATGCTTATCCCCTCTCCTTTCCCATTGCTCTCCTCTGAAAATGCTTTGCAGCAAGGCTGGGCTGAAAAGAGAACAACTTCACTTTACAAGACACAATGTGCTTTTAATCATTTCCTAATAAAATTTTGGCTTTAAGAAGCCCATTTTAATCCTCTCTTTTCATCACCATGCAAGCTAAGGGGGCTGAGAAGGGAAAAAGGAATGAATTCTAGATCAATCACCTTTCCGGGTGTTTATATTTTATCTTTCTGTGGAGGATTTGCTAATGTCCTTTTCCTTTTGATAAACATCAACTTTTGGAAAACTATTTTATTTTTTCCCCATGCTCCCTCCATGATGCTTTTTTTTCATGGACCACTCTTAACAAAGATCTCTCTTTTTCTATCGACATGCAGATCATTACAGATAAAGTTTTATTTGACCCCTGACATTTTTGATTTTAGGTTTTGGGATATTTTTAATCTATGTAGAAGTTTCATAGCAAAAATCTCATACTTTCAAATGCACAATTATAAGTATGATTGCAAGTTTTTGTCTTTTCTCAAGTTTTTAGACAGTGAGAGCATGCTGTAAGTACTTCTGGGCAGCCAGAGCTACCAGGAAAATAAACTCCTCAGACAGATTCAAGTTTCTGCAAACTTTTTAGCATCTGCTTAATTTAATTCATGTGAATGAACCCACTGAAATCCAAAGAAGTGTTTATGAGAGGCATTTAATACCCTGTATGACTGGAACATAAGCTGCTGTTTTGCTCAAGAACAGAGCCTCACTCACCTTTTCAGCTATTTAACTATTCCACTGTACACCACAACTATTTTGGGGAGATCAAGAGGTTCTGGACACATCCTATTAATTTTTCACTACCACCCCCTGTAATTCCAAAACTTTTTTGACACCTAATAATCAAAAATCTCCCTAACAAATTATAGGCAGCCACCTACTGCTCCAATCCCTCAAGCTATTTCCACTTTTGCAGCAGCAGGCTCTTCAATCATCATGCTAAGAGCAATGTTAATTTTCACATCTCTTATTTAAAACAAAGACTCTTAAGAGAAAAGTAAAATTCAGGAAATTATTAATATGAAGGTACATTACTACAAGGCTGTTATATGGACTAACATACTACTCTTAATAACTACATCATAATTTGATTATGCTAGGAAAACGAAACAGAAAAAGGGCATTTAGGTTGACTCTGTTGCAGCACTATGATAAAAGGTAAAAAAGCAAACATTTAAACCATTATTTGAGCTAT